CTAAGAATGTCCTTAGGAAAATCCATTTATGCAAAAATATAGACTTAATTTTACAAAGAAAATTTAATTCATGTCTCAAAATATTAATAATTTGGAGTGAGTAGTACACTGAAGTCTGAAGCTCACCACTGCGGTGCAGTGGAAAAGTCGACATCAGACCACTCACAAGAAACCTAAACCTAAACTAAACCTAAACCTAACCTAACTATTGCCACCAGTAAAAAAGCGAACTCAATTTGAATGAGTGAAAAAGAGAAAGCATGATTGTAGGATGAATTAAACACAAATTAAGATGGAAAAATGTGAATATTCATATTTTTTCTATTCCAGGCTCTTGAATTTTCTTTATTGAGACAAATTCGAGAGCCAGAAATAGACAAAAATTAATTTGGAAAAATTGATTTACCATGAAGATTTTTTCTAAAAACAATGGCATTTTACTTGAAAAATAACGTACTAATTATGAAAAATTCGATACCTTGCACTACAAAACACTTTTCCGCACTGAAATTGAGAAATATTCGAGAAAAACCAGAGCAAATAACTACTACGGCCATTTTTGTTGAAAAATACATGTTTAAAATGGCCGTCCAAGGCCTACTTTGATATTTATTTCGAAAGGTGAAGTTAGCTGAGTTTACAGAAACTCAATACACCTTTACAGTGGCGACAATAGAGTTCCCGTCGCCATATTTTTGCTAATTTTGAATATTTCATTAGTAAATATAAAAATGAACCAGGGCTGGGATCATGACAAGTAGAATTCTACTTTTTTGACAATGTAACGGAACTAGCTATTACCCTTTTGTGGACTCTAGTCATTACCGCACCAGGGATGTCAAAAGTTTTTACTTTGACTGACTGTAAAAATTAACCATTAGGTGTTGGATCATTTAAGCCTTGTATTGAACTAGGGGTGCCTTGATTCTCATTTATACAAATAAAACGCTGAAATAGAATAGTTATCAATTTAATTAATAAATGAAGTTAATTCGGTTTAATCAGCAATCAAATCCTATCTAATAATTCCTATTTGGACGTCCAGTCGAACTACAAATTTTATACTAATCTAAAGTAAATAAGCGAGTAAATAAGTATCTTGATTTATAAAAAATAGTGAAATTTCATAATAATAATATCATTTATGGTTGAATGTTCAAAGAACGAGAACACAAATTAACTAATTTAAATTTACGAGAGCACAACACAAATAATTCGTGAACTTCAATCAGCTCACTGTATTCACAAAATGTTTATAATCCTTGAAGGTTCTTTTGTTTATTGAGAGTTAATAATTTGAGCACTTTTCTGCTGAAGTGTGTAAACAATAAGTGCAAGAAAAGTCTATATATATATGCTCAGTTTCTATATACAAATTTACAAATTAATGTTCATTTCACGAGTGTGAAAACCAAATTTCTGTATTAAAGGTTGGTTAGAACAAACACTTCAATTTATAGTGCATTTCAACCGAATCAGTATTCAGTATTTATTAATTTATTGTTCGACTGTTTTGAGAAATTGAAACGGTCTTACTTGCTTAATCCAGTTCATACCGGTAAATCCATATAGTGATTATTTATCCATTTATCACTATTCGTAGTAATTTGCACTGTCAGCTAAGGGATTTTCCACTAAGAGAGAGAACACAATGATATACAGAGTTGAAGCCCGTCGAGAGTGAGACAGGAATAACCTTAAACAGGCGTAGTAGAGAATTTTGCTAGGTCCGAGATGACTTGCAACAATTTAGGGGTTAATTACATGAATTGTAATCAATAATATCGTTGATAATATAGGCCATGTCAGGCCTTGAGACACTGGGAGTAGTATTTTACTATAATTCGCGTACTAACGGGGGTTTTCTGGGGGTTTTTTTCCTCTGTAGAGCGTTCAGAGGCGAGAGGGTGCAGAGTCTTTGCTTACTCTTCTGCTTCTTGATTACTACTATTGTGTACCGTGCCGTGCGTCGAGTCGACTGCCTTTTTCGGAGCAGGTCGCATAAATCAGGGATGTTGGGTGGCAACTGACCAATCACAACAACAAAATAGATCCATTGCTCATAGGGTAATGAAGAAATCTGTAATTTTACCGATTCAAAAGGGCTGCTGTTGCCAGTTTTACAGGATTCTTTTTTTAGAATATTATTTTTATGATAAATAATAGAAATTGAGATTATATTGATAAACTACAAATAATAACATTTTAAACTTGTTGTGGGTTATTTCCGCAACAGTCACCCTCAACCTATTTATCGCGTACAGTACAGGCGATGATGACAGTTGCTAGGCAACCTGACGTCATTAAAGGAAAATTCTAGTAGAATTCTACTTGTCGTAATCCTAGCCCAGGCCCCCGCCGCCATATTCTTACCAATTTTCAATATAAACATATAGAATTCCAAGAATACGATGGCGATTGTCGCCACTGTAGCTAATAATATGACAATTTCCACTTACCATAAAAATATTTTCTATGAAAAATGACATTTTATTTGAATTTAAACGTGCCGAATATGGAAAATCCAATTCCTCGAATCACAAGAAACATTTTCCGCGCTGAAATCTATTGAAAATCGGAAAATATCCGAGAAAACCTAATGACGGCTAAAAAATACAATTTAAAAATGGCCGCCCAAGGCCTGCTTTAATATTTTTGAAACTTGAAGTTAGCTAATGAATAATTTTCACTTTTCACAAAATTGGATTTTCCTTAAAAATTCAATTCTTTGCACCTTGCACTCCAATAAAATTTCTTTTTCGAATTATAAAATTATTAAAACGCAATAGGACAATCCAATCCAATGACCTGTCAAAACATCAATTCAATATGGCGGCAACGGCCAAACATCTGCGATGTGCAATAAACTATAAACTACACGTATCTGGAATGGCACCGACCGTTGTCGGATATGGCATTTGTATGGCATTTGTCATCTCTCTTATTGTGTCGAAAGTACATTTTGTTGCCTATTTGAAAGAAAAAAAATACATGAAGCTATTTGATCTCATGTATTGTCAAAAATGTCACGTAAACGTCATACAATATTTTTTAAATTCCACTACACTTGTTTTGTATTAACTCTCAATAGTCTCAATCTCAATAGCAAGTCACCCCCGGGTTAAACATAACACATAACTTTGGGGTAAACATTGCAACTGGCACTGGGTACGTTTACTCTAGAGTTACTTGAAATCAACCCGGGGGTGACTTACTATTGACACAGCTATTGAGAAATTGGCCCTTATAGAAGTAGAGCAAGAAGTACAGAAAGAGAAAATGTTATAGATTATTTTGAACTGAAAAAGAAGATTGTTTGACATTATTAACATATTTTCAAAATGACATTTACAATTGCGCTGTTGCCAAATTGTAAACTCCTCAATGACACAATGACCTTGATACATAAGGCTATCGTCCGAATATAACCATCCATGATCATGGTTTTACAGCTCCAAGGTAATCAAATTACTCTGGTTCCTGGAAAAGTGGCTACTTCTGGACCTCGGTTTCCTAAAATCAGGATTGAGATCACTAGTAGAATTTTACGCTCATGACGTCACCGTTCCTATTTATCGCGTACAGTACAAGCGATGATGACGGTTGCTAGGCAACCTGACGTCATGAAAGTAGAATTCTACTTGTCGTAATCCCAGCTCTGCTGGTTAAGGTTAATCAAATGTCAAAATAGTTACCGGCCATTGGATGTCGGTTCGATTGGTTTTATCTATTGAAGTTTTATCTGTCGTTTCTCTCAATTATTTTTTATTTCATACAGAAAAAAAAAATTATAGGTTATTTTTGTAAACGGTGATCTAAGCTTGCTTTCCCTAAGTAACCAGAATTTTCAATAACCGCTTGTTAACCGATTCGGATCTGTCCACCAGTGCTGTGACGTCAGCTGCAGTCCATTATTGACGTGTTTACTATGGCTGAGTTCGGCTTTGAACTCCAACGTTTTCAAATAGGTTTTTTGATAATTTTGAGTTTTGACAATTTTTTTTTCTGCCAAGTTAAATGTCAGTTGTCACCACTGCTTCTTACTTTGACACTAGCTCGCCAGAGGCGTGAGAATATTAAATTAAACTATCTATAATAAATCAAATAAATGTTGTAGTTTTTATCAGCATTCAACAAGGAATACAAAATAGTCCTAAATAGAAAGTTATTGGACGTGCAATAAGGACAAGTAGTATTTAACTTAGCCTTATTTTGACATCTACGCATGTGCATTTAGGTCTGAAAATAAGGATTCAGGATTCCCTTAAGGTTACTGTTTGTCTTTATTTGTGTATGGTTATTGCGCGGCAGTAAACTTCCCTTATTTCAATATTTCTGACATTTTTGACGAATTTGACGTTTTGCTTTTCGACGACTTTGACGTTTTGCTTTTCGACGATGCGTAATTTTACTTAGAAAATGGGTACATTCAGGCGGTCCCAGCGGCTAAGCTCAGCCACTCAGCAGGGACTTTATGCTCGAAACCAAGGAACAGCGTTCTTATAAGAACGATTGCTCTGTCATTGTCAGTGTTATGCCGGACGACAAAGACAGAACCTTCGTTTCAATGAGAACGCTGTTTCGAGAATAAAGTTCCCGCTGAGTGGCTGAACTAAGCCGCTGGCACCGCCTGAATATACCCAATTTGTTTTTTACAATAGTTTTTCATTTTACTGTAGGTAATATCAAAAAATTGGTATCAGCATAAAATCACAAACAAAAATACTTTTTGGGGTTAAAATTTATAAACATAAATAGCTTTCAAAATTATGAATACAAAATAAGGTGATAATGACCTACTACAGTCTTCCAATAATTGTTATTTTCTTGGAGAAATAGTGCTAATGCACTAATAAAATAACGTAAATCCTTAATACTGCGAGGCAGTATGTACCCAATAGTTCTAATAACTCTCTAAAACTGTAGTCCTAAAATAGTGTTCTTTTTGTTTAAAGGTCTGACGTAACTGTAAGACAACCGTACCCCAACTAAAAAAAACAATGATGGCTATGGACATCGCATCCGCAACCAAAATCATTCCATCGGGCGACTGCCGAAAAATAAAACTCAAACCCCAAAAATTCATAAAACGAACGCGTCGCCGTCGACTGGACCAAATCGAAACGGCTGTCAAAAGCCTGATCGCCGATAAAAAACTGACCCTTTTCGCGTGCGTCGCCTGCGAAAACCTACTGAAACAGCCCGTGACGGTCAAGTGCGGTCACACGTTTTGCCTGGAATGTATCGAGGAGGAAACTTGTCCGAAATGTTTTATGGTCAACGAAGAGGTGCCGCTCCGAGTCGACATTTTGGTTCAGAGTTTGATCGAGAAATGGAAGGAGAGGAACAAGATTGGAGATATTGGAGGTAAGGAGATTATTTCATAATACACATCGATAATACACATTATGCCGCACACACAAATGGAAATCCCCAATTTACAAAGTTACGTCAGCTGAATGCATTGGGCTGCTGAGGCCAGAATTTGTATGACACGAAAAAAAGAAGTGACATTTCATTCGAAAAATGTTTAATTTCAATGCAGTGTTGCCAACCAGTTGACATGCAAGCCCTTATTCTAATTTTCCTAAACCTATTTTGTTGGCGTGCAAACCTTTATCCTAATTCCTTATTCTAGTTTTCCTGAGCCTATTTTAAATCCTAATTTGTTGGCTGCAACCCCTTAATCTATTCACTTCTTAATCTTAATTTGTTGCCTAATCCTACTTTCTAATAACAAGTCCTAATCCTATTGGTTTCCTAATGTGTTGGCATGCAAGCCCTTATATCTAGTCGCTTCAATAGGCTCTGTCGTTTTAGTATTGATACCTAAAGCCTGTATTTTTGACAGTTGATATTTTAAATGTCAACTGTCAAAAGTGTTCGTTTAGTGTTTTTTTGGTGACTGGGTTTACACTGTCAATTGTCAATTTCATTGATTTTCCTGTGCGGGTCCTTTTTTTATCCCAAAAAAGATGTTATCGAACGCACCCCTATTTAATTTTTAAAATTATTGTTAATTTTGTTGATTTTCGCGGAAAAAATTTGAAATTTTAGTGTAATGCGCCCCTGACTTTTCTCTTTTTCTCCAAAAAATGTCATAATTTTTCCTTGAATAGTTTTCCAGAAAAAAAATAAATTGTTAGATGGTGCATTTATGCCTAATTTAGTTAATTTTCATTAATTTCCAATGGGGTTATTTTTTACTGGAAAAATTTGAAATTTCACTATGATACGCCCCTGACTTTTTTCTTTTTTTCCAGAAAATGTCATAATTTTTCCTTGAATAGTTTTCCAGAAAAAAAATAAATTGTTAGATGGTGCATTTATGCCTAATTTAGTTAATTTTCATTAATTTCCAATGGGGTTATTTTTTACTGGAAAAATTTGAAATTTCACTATGATACGCCCCTGACTTTTTTCTTTTTTTCCAGAAAATGTCATAATTTTTCCTTGAATAGTTTTCCAGAAAAAAAATAAATTGTTAGATGGTGCAATTATGCCTAATTTAGTTAATTTTCATTAATTTCCAATGGGGTTATTTTTTACTGGAAAAATTTGAAATTTCACTATGATACGCCCCTGACTTTTTTCTTTTTTTCCAGAAAATGTCATAATTTTTCCTTGAATAGTTTTCCAGAAAAAAAATAAATTGTTAGATGGTGCATTTATGCCTAATTTAGTTAATTTTCATTAATTTCCAATGGGGTTATTTTTTACTGGAAAAATTTGAAATTTCACTATGATACGCCCCTGACTTTTTTCTTTTTTTCCAGAAAATTTCATAATTTTCCCTTGAATGGTTTTTCAGAAAAAAAAATAAATTGTTAGATGGTGCATTTATGCCTAATTTAGTTAATTTTCATTAATTTCCAATGGGGTTATTTTTTACTGGAAAAATTTGAAATTTCACTATGATACGCCCCTGACTTTCCTCTTTTTTTCCAGAAAATGTCATAATTTTCCCCTGAATAGTTTCCCAGAAAAAAAATAGATGTTATAAATGTTAGATGGTGCATTTATACCTAATTTAGTTGATTTTCATTAATTTCCAATGGAGTTAATTTTCACTGGAAAAATTTGAAATTTTACTATGATACGTCCCTGACTTTCTTTTTTTTTCCAGAAAATCTCATAATTTTCTCCTAAATAGTTTTCTAAAAAAAAAAAGAAAATGTTGGATGATGCATTTATACCTAATTTAATTGATTTTTATTTCGAATAGGATTATTTTTCATTTGAAAAAGTTGAAATTTTACTATAATACGCCCTTGACTTTCTTCTTTTTTTCCAGAAAATGTCATAATTTTCCCTTGAATAGTTTTCCAGAAAAAAAATAAAATGTTAGATGGTGCAATTATGCCTAATTTAGTTGATATTCATTAATTTCCAATAGAGTTTTTGTCTATTTGAAAAATTTGAAATTTTACTATGATACGCCCCTGACTTTTCTAGTTTTGTTCAGAAAATTTCATAATTTTCCTTTGAATAATTTTCCAGAAAAAAATTAAATGTTAGATGGTGCGTTCGAGGGGTGGTTAACTGGTCAAAATCTATGTACAAGTTAGTCGAAATTCCAGAAAATCTCATAAGATCTACTCAATATCCCTAAAAATCTTTGAAATCCTTAAAAATTTAATAAAGTCCCACAAAATCTCTTGAAATTGCATTGAATCCTACAAAATCTAACAAAATTTCATTAAAACCAAAAAAAATCCTGCAAAATCTCATAAAATCATTAACATTCCTAAAAAATATTTCCTTAGAAATTCCCAAAAATTCTTTGGTTTGGAATCTCCAAAAATCTGTTAGTCTCAATAATTTAGTGGAATTTCGAGGAATTAAGTTCGGTAGAATTGTTATTCTTAAAAAGGAATTACATGAGAAATTTTTGCGGAGTTTCCATAGACGTTAAATTTTAATTCCTCTCGAATAACATGAAATTTCACTGAAATTCCTCTCGAATTACATGTAATTTCAGTGAAATTCCGATCGAATTACACGCAATCCTAAATGAATTACATGGAAGAATTCTAAACAGTTATATGAAATTACACCGAAATTCCCAACATGAAATTTAAGTTCTTACTGAATTTTAGTAAAATTCCAGAAAATTCCACAAGTGGAATGCCGAGAAATTTCCGGCTAAAAACAGGGAATTTCGGTGATACTCCGAAAAATTCCCTAATGACATAAAATTTCAATATATTTCGGTGAATTTTCAAGAAATTACTTGAAGTTTCATTAATATTCCCAGAAATTCCTGGATATTAAAAGAGAATTCAGTGAAATTCCGAAAAATTCTTATGAAAATAAATTAAATTTTGAAAAATTCCTTGAAGTTTCATTGGACTTTCGAGAAATTTTCGGCTTTGAACGTGGAATTTCAATATATTCTCATAAAATTTTAGTAAATTGCGAGGAACTTTCAAGAAATTACATGAAATGTCAATGAAATTCGAATTCCGAAGAATTTTACGATAATTTTGTGAAATTCCAGGATATTTCTGTGGTAAAATTTTGGGGAATTTCAGAAAAGTTAAAAAAAAAATATGGAATTTTGAAATTGAAATCTCAGTGGAATTCCGAGGAATTTCATGAAATCCTATACTGTAATTCTGAAAAAAAATTGTCTAAGAATTCCATGAAATCTTCTGGTGAAATGTTAAGGAATTTCTATGGAATTACTTAAAATTTTCGCGGAATTCCCATGGAATAACTTGAAATTTTAGTGGAATTCCGAAGAATTTTATGAAATCTTCGAAGGGTTGAATAATTACTCCCCGAAATCGTGTCACAAATTCGTTCGAAATCCCCAAAATCTTTCCGAAATCTACGAAATCACTCCGAAATCCGCCGAAAGCCCTCCGAAATCTTTCAGAAATCTTTCCGTAAACCCAAAAATCCCTCGCAATTGACCCAAAATTCATAAATCGGTCAACTCGGCCGTTTTTCAGTTATATGTACTAATACACCTTTGAATATACTAATAAGATAAATAACAGTCTGAAATCAAATTAAAATATTTGCGAAATCACCTGAAATTCTCCGAAATCACCCGAAATCCTTCGAAATCAACCGAAATTCCTCAAAATCGCTCTAAATCTGAAATCTTTTCACAGTGAATAATCCCTCGAAATCCTACCGAAATTCTACCGAAATCCTCTGAAATCACCCGAAATCCCTCAAAATCGCTCTGAATCCGAAATCTTGTCACATTTTTCCCTTGGTGAATAACCCCTCAGAAATCTTATATTGTAATTCCGAAGAAAAAAAACATTCGAAGAATCCCATTGAATTTTATGGTGTAAAATGTTACATGTGCAACTTTTGCGGAGTTTCCATAGAATTCACATCAAATTTTAGTTCTTCTCGAATTACATGAAACATGAAATTTAGAGAAATTGACATTACATGAAATTTCAGTGGAATTTCGGTCGAATTACATGAAATCCTGAATGAGTTGCATGGATGAATTCTAAACAATTACATGGAATTACACCGAAATTCCAAACATGAAATTTCAGTGCTCGTTTAATTCCATAAAGAATTTTAATAAAATTACATTTTCGTCGAATTATATGGAGCTTCGATACAATTGCATGGAATTCCAAGGAATTGTATGAAATATAAGTGGAATTTTGAACAACTCTAATCGTTTCATAAGGAATTCCAGTGAAATTCCGAAAAATCCTAATGTAATAACACAAATTTTTATTTTTATTCCAAGGAATTCCCAGTTGAATACATGGCATTTTAGTGAAATTGAAATTCCGAAAAATTCCCATCGATTTACTGAATTTTAGTAAAATTAAAGGAAATTTCGAGGAGTTTCCGGTAAAAATTTGGAATTTCGGTGTAATTTGGAAAAATTTCCATGTAATGATATAAAGAAGTGTCTTATATTCCCAGAAATTCTTGACTATTGAAAGAGAAAGTTTCATGGGAATTTCGAGAAATTTTCGACTAATAACGTGGAATTTCAGTGAAATTTCAAAAAATTCTCATAAAATTTTAGTGAAATTCCGAGAGATTTCTAAGAAATTACAGAAAATGTCAGTGAAATTCCGAAAAATTTTATGAAAATTTGGTGGAGTTCCAGGATATTTCAGTGGTGAAGCTTTGGGGAATTTCAGTAAAGTTTTAAAAAAATTATGGAATTTGGAATTTCTATAGAATTTTGGAGAATTTCAGTGGTATTTCGGAAAAAAAAAAATTATTAAATATTTGCAGAATTATTATCAAAATATATACAATTTCACTTTGTGTCGACTTACATAAAATTTCGATGAAATGTCGAGTAAAATTCCAAGGAATTCTCGTCGAATTACATACATGGAATTCCTTGAAATCGAAATCTTATTGTG